GTTATGCAGGCAGGTGCAGCACTGCGACTCGACTTTCAGATTACTGAAAACAAGACATGACGTGAATTCACAACAACATGCGGAGATTCTTCAGTCGTGAGTCAGAATAAGAAACACACAAAACGGGAGCTATCAGAAGACCCATCTGTTGATTAACAAAAAACATCAAACGCTTTATCAAAACAAAAATCCTTCATTAAAACAAAAGTCTCCCTTAAAAAGTTTTTTGGTGATAGACAAGAGAAAACAAAAATCATGGAAAGCAAAAGTGCCATTTGGATGAGAACATACAGTGAATCTCACTCAACCAACTTTACTGAAACCTGGTTCAAATTCAGACAACGCAGCTCGATGTTACCATTTACTGCTGTTTTCACACTTATACTCATATTTGTAATTCTAAAAATATTTAAACTAATCAAAGGAACAGTAATGATCACAATTATAGAAAGTGATACTTTAAACTTTGGTACATTTTACTTGGTTAGGTTGAGTTATCTATATACTTATTTTAACCTGTGTACCTGACTTTTCTTACTCCAACTTGCTCTGTATTGTGATATACAGTTTATTTCTGTGAATTTAAGGCTTTGTTGTGGACATGTGCTGTGGTTTTCAAAGTCTGTGTGGTCAAGAACAGTGTTAAGGTTTATCAGGCAGTAGGCTACCAAGACATTTAGTGTCACGTTGCATTTAAAGACTTCAAAAGACATCAAAAGTCTTGCTGTGGCCATTTGAAGCATGGGAATGAAACAAAAACCATCATCGTCTCTGTATTCTGACATGTAATAATAATATGTACAAGTACACCTCACTTTCAGAAAAAAACCTGCTTTGGCACATTATATTAAGATGTCACTCAGCTTAAGTATTACATACTCAGAAGTTAGTTCTCCCAACCGACTGTCGATTTTTTTTTTGCTAGTTTTTAAATATTGCGATCAGTCATTGCAGTGGAGACATAAGTATGCACATATACATACATATTATGGATGTGTACTTTAGCGGTTTGTTCAGTGTGTGTTTTTCCATACTTGATGAGCCACTTGAACTGCTCCGGATCGTCAGAACAGCCGTAATCAGTTGTCCAAGCGTGGCCGATGGTGAATTTGTGGAATTTCAGCATATCCATAACGCCCACTTCAGCTACAACACAGCCAAACAGGTCTGGACGTTGAATCATGCATGCCGCTGTGTGTAGACTCAGAATTAGTACTGCACATTCCGTTTGCTTACAAACACACATGCATCTCAATTACTTCACACTGTAGGACACAGTCACTTCTAAATGGCTATTTACACACCAGGGAAGCAGGCATTAGTTGGATTTGTGCGATGCCATATGGCAGCCAGCCTTTGGTAAATGATGTGACTAAGCACTGTCTAATGTGGTGTTTAATAGCGAAATTAATTGAAGCTAAGCAGCTAACTACTGTTAGATGAACTTGACATTAGCAATTATGACAAAGAAGTACTATAAAAGAACACGAAGCACTGAAGTGGATGCAGCTGAGGCCAATATCATAGTGTTTTTGCCCCCCCCCCTTTTTTTTTTTGTGGCATTAGTAATAAATGTGAAAACATGAAGCTGTACTGGACTGTTACTGGTCTCATGGGTTAAATCACAGAGAAGAGGGAGCTCATCTGGTAAATTGGGGAGGAAGTAGAGGTACAGTTCCATTGGCTAATTTCAGCTATAAAAATAACGAGCAAGGTTCACACAGCTTCCCGATCTGAACGTGCAGGCAGTGGACTGTTGCATAATGGTTTCCCAGGTATACTTTTAAAACTCCCTCTGGCCTTTTCAGCAGCTATCCCACTAAAAAACATAAAGCACAGACACACACAGTTGATCCTGTACTTACCCACTAGCAGCCCTCCATTAGAGGCTCCATTGATAGCAATGAGGCTTGCTTTAGTGTACTTCTCCTGGATCAGGTACTGTGCTGCACACTGGAAGTCATCAAAGCAGTTCTGCTTGTTCGCCAAACTGCCAGCTACAAACAATACACAGCAGAAGTAGTCGTGTCAATTCCGTAAAAAAAATAAAAAACACACAATTACTTGCTTACATACTACTTAGAAACTCCATGTCTTTTTGCACCTTTGTGCCAGGTGAGGCCATACTCGCCACCCCCTCTGATGTTAGCCACTGCTAGCACGCCTCCGAGGTGTTTCACAAACAGCAGAGAGGCAACACTGACCACATACAAGAGAGAATAAAGACAGAAATATTATAAGAGCACATTGCACTTACAGAATACTGACTAGATGTTTATAGGAAAAACATTTAAAGAGAAAGGTAGCATTGGTCCCATCCCTGCCCCTGAAGAGCCAATCAACCCTCGAACTAGAAAATAATAAATAGACTGCTGAATACACAACAGTTTCAATTATATGATGAGAAACATATCTCCCTATCATAGCAAGTTCATTGTCTTTGCTAACTATATGCATAATATGCATTAGTATGCCATTAGTTCACTGCTCTGGTGACACTGATCGTGTCAGCACTCCAGACTGAGTCTTTCATGAAGTTGTAAAGGATTATACAAAGTTACATGACAAGGACACCAAGTTTTTTTAAGCTTCTTTTTGGAGATTTTTGATTATTCCTATTATATTTAATTAGTCGTGCTGTTTTTATATCACTGACATTCAAGTTAGCACCATTTCCCCATTCATTTAGAAAGTGGTGTCAACATACTGCTAAAAAAAACCAACACTTTCTTCTAGAAAGGCCTTCACAAAATCACAAGCTTATGCCACGTAACAAGCGTGGTATTTAGAAAACAAAATGCAGAAGTAGAGTTATTGGCAGTGTGACACTTAAGTTCACAATGCGGTTTATTTTGATGTTTACAACAGTACACATATCTAAGCAGTTTCTTTTTCATTAGCACTGAATACACAGAGCGTTTCTCAGGAAATACTAATGCATACATCCACACCCAGTCATTTACAGAGAATCCAACCTCATCAGTACTCTTTCCTCCAGAGATGAATCCAACCAGGTGTAATAAAAGCTCACTGATGGATGTAATACAGTCATAAAAATAAAAAAATACAACCTCTTCAAATTCTAAGGTTTTCCTTATCAGGACATAATAAAATCATCTGGCCCTTAGGTTATAAAATTAGGTAAATGAACAACAACAAATGACATTACACCCTGTCATTATTTATCTAACAAAGGTAAGGCCAAAATGCACATACAAAGGCTTTCAAAATCACCTTTGGATGATTGATCTGTGTCTTCTAAACAATCTCTGCTTTTCCATTCTCTTTCTAATTGTAATATTACGAGCTTTAATATTTAATTGGCTAACTTAGGCCTTGTTGAGTCTGAAATTTAACTATGGAATTTTTATTGCAATTTCTCTGCACAATGTATGGCACGACCCTTCTGACCTCAAGAGCACCAGCAAATCTACATGAAGAAACCTGACTGAAATGCTGTGCCTGTATAGCCTCATATGCTAGGACCTGTTCGGAGTTGTGCGTAAATGAAAGTCGTCAAACCTCAACGAACTGAAACAATGTTGTAAAGAAGAATGAGGCAAAATTCCTCCACAATGATGTGAGACACTGATAAAGTCATACAGAAAGGTTAGACTTCAAGTTGTTCCTGGTAAAAGTTGTTGTGCAAACTGAATGATAAAGTTTTCCACATAAAATTTCTGTATTTTGGCTTAATTTTTGTTAAATAACAAATGACAAGACAGAACAATATAAATCATGTTCAGATGGGCAAAAACCTTGAACTGAGAGGGTGTCTTTTCTTCTTATACATTTTAAAATCTCCAGCTTACAAAAAAGTTGAAGTTTGACTGTTAAATTATCAATGAATGAATCAGGGTTTATTCAGTTTAAGAGCACTGGGATTATTTTGCAGGACCATCATTATGGGTTATTGTATTTAACCTTGTTTTTCCACTATTATAGTACCTACCATCATTGATCACACTGCTCTGAAGTACTAGGAAAAGTACATTAAAAGAAGACAGCTTTGACAGCACAGTCGTACTTACTTAAAGTATGGTTGTATGGAGTTCTCAAAGCCTCCATATCCATAAAGTAAAACAGGATTACTCTCATCTTTCTGAATGGTCTTGGCATGTACTAAGAACATAGGGATCTTGGTTCCATCTTTACTTGGATAGAACACCTGGTATGTAGAGAAAAATGTATTATTTGATCTGACATGTGTCAACCAACGGCTTCTTTTCTTTTTGATATGTTATTTGCGACTTCCTCAACCATGGTGAACAGAATTCTGCTAATTCTGCATCATGTGTATTCAAACAGTAGACGTGACAATTCATAACAACTATGCCTCAAAATGACAAATGTTTAGAAATCAATACAAATAAAGTAATGGGGACGTTTAGGCCTCAGAGACACTAAATATGCAGACACGCTTCTTTAATACAACACCAAAGAGTACATCCATGTACTGTCACATGTAAATTGAGTGTGATAAATCTGCTTAGCTCTGAAATGCCTATATTGAGTCCATGATCCGCTGACGTGTTGAAATGCTTTGTATTCTGTAAGGAAATGCTTTTAAATCCCTTCAATAGCCCCATGATAGTTGCTCCATCTTTAATTAACTTTTCAGCAGGAACAAATAGATCCTAACTACGGCTTAAACTTGGTAACTGCTCCCTCGTCTATAAAGATGAGTGAACCATTTCTACAAGCAGCCGTACAACTAACAATATTATGTTACCGATGACGTGGGATGGTTTGGATCACGTTCATTTCCTGTAATTTTAATCACTTTGCCAGAGGCTGACTTCACGTCATCTATTCATAAAAGTTTTCTCCAGGATCTTTGTGGCACGACTTCAGCAATTCCAATCTCCTCTCCCAGCTCCTGCTGTATATTAGTCAACATAGGTGACTTATAGTCAATAGAACAAGTCTTATAGTTCACTGTGACTATAAAACGTTGAGTAAGAAACTTAATTTTTCAAGGGTTTCTAGACTCCTGCTATGCTGGGATTCTTCTTCGCAGGCCTAAATACTCTTTTTTTTTTAGCTGCAGTCATTTTCTGTAGTCATTCAGCCCCCGTCCTTATTTAGTCCATCAATGGTTTCTTTTTTTTTCTAAATTTTTCACACTGCTCTAAGTTGAATGTACATTTCCTGTGTGAAGTTTCCCATTTCTGCTTTTTTTGTTGTTGTCTCTTATTAGATTTTACAGATAAGGTGCCAGAGTCAGTTCTTTGGTTCTTGTGTTGGCCAACTAGCACCGATTGCAAACTCAAAGGCTTTTATTTGTCTGTGCAATTCACAATTTACTACTGTCAGTAAGTCATTAACTTGCATTTTCATATCTCAAAAGAAGTATTAAAATAGCTCTTTGTATAAAATGATAAAGCGTGGGGTCATGTAAATAGCATGAAATAAAAGCTAGATCCCATGACTCTGAATATTAAAAGTACTGTTAAAATACATAACATTACAGTATGTTCTACTGAAATTAAGCAGATGACCAGAAAGAGTGATATTACCTGTCTGGTCTCAATGTCTTCATGTTTGATACCCTTTACCTCCACCTCTCTGAAGACTTTGGGTTCTGGGTTTGGCTTACTCAGGTCACAGTGGTAAATGATACCTGGATACAGCATAATAGAAATCAAAGTTAGACGTCCAGCGTGACTGGTTGCATTTAAATAGTTAAATATATGGTCATTTTATTAAGAAATTCTGATAATATCATGCAAATTAATTCAATTTCAAAAGACATGATCTGCAACTTTAGTAAAATAGGCTAATTATAGGAGTATTTTATGTTGCAATTAATCCTCTGTTGTAATAACAATAGCAAACAGCTGCATATCAGAAAGCATTTAATCTGTTAAATATCTGCCTTGGTCACACAAACTCATACTTTATTGAGTTTTTGGAGAAGTAATTGCAATAATATTTGTATATTTTTTTGCATGTAAGAAGTGTATTTCATGTGGTTCATACTCATGGAAAAACTCAAGTATATAAAAACTGGAATTGCCTGGTGTAGTAAAGGAGGTAAACTTGTAGAAGAACTCAGAGTGTTTCTTCTTGCAGCTCACTCCGGCCACAGTGCCCACATCCAGCGGCAGGTCTCTGACAAGCCGGCCTGTAGACAACTCGCATACTTGCAGGATATCCTTCACATCATGGACATAGTTGACCAACAGGTGGTGCTGGTTCACACATGACACAAAGCCTGCAGGAAAATAAAGGAGGAAGTAATGCAAAATGTCTTTGGGGAGGGGGGAGTTGTCAAAAACAATGTATCCAAGCGGCACTGAATTTCTGTCTTTGTCTTCCTTTCTAGATCACACTATTTATACTTCCTCCTCCTGTCGATTCCCGACAATGATCTCAGCAATAAGGAGTAATCTCATGATTACTCAAGTATGAGGTATAAACACTTTTCAACATGAATATATCAAATAGTTTTTAAGTTAAGTTTTGTAATTGATGCATAACTACATGTGCAAAGGGCAGAATAACTGCAGGAATAAACTATAAATCCATGTTCTGTACCTAATAAAGTCCCAACAGCCTACAGATGTTAAGATAGTTGTGGTAGTATCTACGTACATTATATACGATAACTACAGTTCCATGCACGGCATTTTGCCTCAAAGTGTTGTCCTTTTCAGGACAAAATGTTAAATGTTGAAACGGTGACTTTATATTTAATCCTAGCGCTATTATACTATACAAAGTACAAGGATCACAATTAGGCTACATTTGGGAGCGTTTCTGGTAATAACAAAACTGTGATGTTGGGCATGTAGTTAAACTGGAATGCAACAGAGACCACAACGATTTATCAGCTTAGAAAATTACAGAGGAGAGCAGTCAGTTTTGTCTTGAACAGGTTGGTGAACCTGAGTGACTAGATACTATCAAATGAAACCATCAATCCTTAATGTGAATGGCATTTTTTGATGTTTGACACCATGGCAACAAGTGTGTGTTACTTTACCCAAGCAACACCAAGCAAAAAAAGCAATTTAAGAATATTTAAAGAAAAAAAAGAAAAAAGAAACCAAGAAGAAAAAAAAAAACAATACCATTGCCAGTAATTAGTTAGGAAATAACTTGCACTAGTAAAAAAGTATTACTGGTTTCATTTAGTAACATATTATTTTAAAAAAAAACCCTGAATAGTCAGTTTATGAAAATTTCATTGCTCTTAATAATACCTGAATTAGTTATAAAGGTATTTAAGGCCAGTTTAACTCAATAGCTGCCAACAGTAACTGAAACATTATGTTGTTTAATACAACACTGTAAGCCCTTCATAAAATGTGATTTAAATTTCTTTTAACAATATAGAATTTACATTATTATTTTTATCAGTCCAGTATTGCCCAAGTTCAAATTTCAACTATGTTCCTCTTTTCTCTTTCTTTAACATGTGTAGTTTCCCAGTGCGCCAAGAGCTATACAGCTGTTTTTACCACAAGTAAAATGTTGTGACGTGTTGTTCGCACTTCTCAAAGGTAACATGGACATTTGTGTATGTTTCATTCATCACCAAGTACAATTACGGTCATTCAAGTGACACGAACAAAGAAAAAAAAAATTACAACACAAAGTGCTTATGGACAGAGTTTCACTTTTTGAGCAGAGTTCCCTCTGACGAAGGTTTTGAACCACAGACAGACATGCAAGTTCCCGATTGTTGTGGCTGGACCGTCATCGAAACATCAGGACAGAAATTCGGCTTAAAACTATTTTGCAAGATTTTAAGAGATGAATTGTGGAAGTACAGTTCTATGAATAAACCCTTCACACATTTCTAAGGACTGTTGGAGTTTCAGATGCTCATGCGTTTAGCAGCAAATTTGCTTTTATTAACTCTCAGACACTGCATTGCAGATAGTTCTCCACAAAAGAAATGTACTAAGACTACATGCCACTACATAATTCACTCTCTACTACAGTATGCTTTAATGACATTTCCATTTTATCTCACCCAGGACGTCTTTATCATGCTGTGGTATGAGGGTAGTCCAGTGCTGTCTGTCTGGTTTCTCGATGTCTATGTTGATGAGACAGTATCGAGGCGCATCCAAGTTGGAGCGGAAAGTAAACACAGTTCCCTCATTGGTAACATAGGAGTACTGAGCATCAAAGTTGTCCACAAGTTTGACCCACGGCAGCAGACCTGCAGAAGTAGATAAATAAAATGACAAAAACCCCAAAAGTGATATTTATCACTAGCAGTGAGTATTAGGAACTAGTATTAGCTTATAAACCCTCATTTGCAGTGGCTTGTAAAAAACAATAACAAGTTCTCATAGCAGGCTTGCAGTAGAAGGTTTCATAACTTCTGCGTGGGAGGATTTCTTTTCCTCAACTTAAAACAGGCCACATTTTGAATTTTGAAATCTCAACATTTACTTCACTAATGGTTGAGTCACAGGCATCAGTTCGTGTCTGCGTTGACACGTCTTAATGACAAAGCTGGCGTATTTTTCACAAAACTGCCCAAGCAACGGCTACTTAGAGGCTATATATGTTGACACTGAGTCATGCTGCAGTCCATATTGCTTCATGAACACTTCTCATGAAAGATGAGTTGTTCGTTTGGGGTCATCATTTTTAATGTTCTTTGCATGCTACATACAAGTCTGACACATTTCAAAAACTTTTTCATGCCACTTTAGACGCTATCCTCCAACAAAATAACTCCCAATTTGTGGCAATTCACAAATTAATACTGGCTAATGAGGTAAAGCTGGGAGGAAACTTACTACCATGAACCTAAATTTACCTGTCATGGCCAGATTAGCATTTTGCACTGTGATGCAATAAGAATACCAACTATATACCTGTGATCTTACATCTCCATAAGACTCATGAGTTATTGCGTTTATGAGTATTTAACACAGACCTTTTATGCCATCGGGGAGCTGCTTTAGGTCGCAGTACCACAGCTGGTTGACAGGCTCACAGCCTTCAGTGATCGACAAAACAGCATATCTGCCGTCATCTGATATCTGGGAAGAGGATTTTTTTTAAAGTCAACACAGGGAGGGGAAAGAGAATTTGAGAAGCAGCTGACGTGAAAATGCCAATGTAGGCTTTGCCATAAAAGTATAATCTTTGCTCTTAGAATCCCCTAAAAAGGCGCACTCATATAAAACAGTTGGGTCTTTAATCATTTTAAAATACCAAAATGGACAAAAGATGCTATGATCCAATGCAATTTGCAATATTAGGTTCATGTAGTTTGCAGAAAACTAATTTAATTTCAGTAGCAATCAAATTCTTCTCTTTTTTGACCAGAGTGTCAACTCCTTAGAGTAAGCACTGCAATGGCCTAATGGGTTTCTTCCTTTTAAAACAGGAACGAACCATTAGCAGACCCCAACTCAATAAGGGTAACACATCTGCTCGAGCCTCCCCGGGTAGGGCACTAATGATTCAAGAAAGCTATAGACTTACGGTCACTGCACTGTGCCACTTGGGATGATCAGGGAACTCTGCTACCAGAATGTCTTCTGACTGGTTGGTGCCAATAACATGGTAGTAGAGCTTCTGATTCATGTTGCTGGTGGTCTCAGTGCCTTCAGCAAAATACAAAGTAGTTAAATACTAAATACGTTTCAAACTAGATTAGTTAAATGTGTTGTTTCTGCGCAGCGTAAGTTTATTTGCACAATATCTCTTCCTAACCATCAGTTTTTCCTTCCTGGCGTGGGTAACAGTTATAAAAGATGCCCTTTGCATCATGAGTCCAGGCCAAGCAGCTGAATTTAACCCTTTCCAGAACGTCAGCCAGTGGGCTGAGGTCATCGGCCTTCATGAAATGCACCGTTACCCAGTCTGAGCCACTGCTACTCAAACCATAAGCAAAAAATTCACACTCTTCTGACAGTCGCCCCACTAAATGGAGAAGGAGATGAAAAAGAAAAGAAGTTAGCAGTGCAAATTTAGCATCATTCCATCTCTGTTGCCTGTATGTCTGTGATCGATAACAAGTTCTGCAATTTGGCTAACTTTTCAGTGCCACAGTTCCATCTTCAGAAAGCTTATTAGGATCAAAGAATACAGTTGCAGGTGCATCGAGAGAGTCCTGCACATAGAGCACATCCTGGTTCTGAAGGCCTTTGTTGTGAGAGTAGAAATATCTGAAAAGAGACAAGAAACTACAGTGAAGGAAAGCATTGTTGTTGTTGTTGACTTAAGTCCTGCAATTCAAGCTTGTCGCTTTCAGTATAAATGCTGATAACCGTTAATTAAAATTCAGCTATTACCTCTTCCCCCTTTTGTAAGGGCAACTGTACTTGGGATAATTATAGACCTCAGTGAGCCGCTGATGAAACTGTGCCCGGATGGCGCACTGCTCCAGGTACGGCATAGTGAGTTTGTTCTGCTCTTCAACAAAGGCCTGCGTAACAAAAACGACATGACAAGGGATGAAATGCAGATGGTTTTTTTGGGTGAAGAACCAACAGTAGCATTCTTCAAAAAGAAAAATAAAAAAATCATCATGTACCATTGTTTCTGCACCATCAGGGTCTTCCAGCCATGCATATGGATCACCGATTTTAGTTCCATGGTAATCATCCACCTGTTGCAAAGATGCACAGAGAAGCTAAACGTGAACAAACAGGAATAAGCCGGAACAAACATACAAACACATAAACAAAGAGCGCGTCTCATCTTTGGCATTCAAACCCGATTTTCTTGACAGAAAGGATTGTCTCATTGATACTTCCTTTGAAAAGCATTTTTCTCTGGAAATGCAGAGCATCATACTTCATAACTGTCAACGGTATCAGAAATTTTTGGCTCGTCAACTTGATGCTTATCAGCACTGGAATTTGGATTACTACTCCAAGCACTTTTGATAGGCCGACCTTGATGCACCAGTGAGCAGACTGGAGTTACTGCAAGTTCTCTTAAACCACAAACACCCACACATACGCATTTCCATAATGTGCCCATTTCCACTAATCCAAATAAAAATTAATGTTCCAGTAGTTTTCTGTCAATGAAAAACAACTATTAACGCTTCAAAGAAATAAGGCCCGTCACATTTTCCACTTCGACCTGAAAGCACAGCCCGTTGTCCACATCGCCTTTGACTTGTGGTGAAAAACTCATTTCAGTACCAGTTTATGGCACACATCAAGGACATTAGAAAAAACCCATGTCACCGTAGATTGGAATCATTTTATACAAATTTTCTATACAAATGTATATACTGAAATCCATTGTTAGTTATTTTTAGGTAGTTTTAATTTAACGTTACACAAGATACATGTGGCACACTAAGCTTTTAAAATAGTTTAGAGTATCGTTGTGGTGGTATTATATATATTTCTTAACATCTACAGCAAACCCCGGTCCAAATCTATGACAGGACATCGATAGCAGGATGCAAAACCACATTTTTTCACTTCAGTCACAAGCCATCTCTTTTCTTGGCATCTCACATTACACAACAGAGACATGTGGCATCAGATTGTTACATGGACTCTGTATGTGGGATGTACTCCCACTGACTGGTTCCTAAGAATTAAGAGGGAAATTTGACCAAACTCTAAATGTGACATTGCAAAACAGCTCTTGTCCATAACCTACCTACTCATAGTTTATTTTAACAATACGAATTCACCACCAGTTGCCTGAGATCAACCAGTGTGAAATGTTTTACTTAGGATGGATGTTTCAAGTACAGACATTTTTCACGTTCTCGAATGCCGTACTGTTAGTGCGAGACTTAAGTCTGAGAAAAATTAGCATACAACAAAGAACTGGTTAATCCTCACCACATTAACATTTAGGCACCTTTATTGGCCCACTCTGCTCATCTTTCTGTCTCTCCTTCTTTCAGCATGTCTTTCTTTCTATCTTTCTTTACTGAGTGTTGACTGAATGCAACCAAGCTAATGTCCTCCTGGAAAGACAGTCTGACTGGCTTTTTCACTATCTGCCTTCGTGCCTTCATGCCAGTTGAGATCGGGTGAAACACAGTAGTAAACCTACATCTCATAAACCTTAGAATGATCCCTGAGGCAGTGCGAGACATCCTAAGATTAGAGACAACCTTTACGTTGGCACAGGTATGGATCGGCTGGTCATTTTAAACATTTGTGGCTTATAGAGTGGTAAATTTTCAAATACTAGAGGGACCCGTCAGTTTTTATTTATACTCAAAAACCCACACGAAACAAATTTGTATCACATTCAGTTTAGCTTTGAACCATCAATGCATGCATGCATACATGTCTAGTCATGTATGCATGCATGCATGACTAGAGATAGATGTCATAACTCACCATTGTAAAGTATAAATGTGAAAATTTTATAGGTGCAGTATTTTATTTATTTAGTCACCAGTAACTAAGCAATTTCCAAACATATTCAGCCACAGCGCTTCATCTAATTTTACTAGAGGCTGTCCGTTTTTGGCTACTGTCACCTCTGTTCATCTTTGCTAGTGCACCGTTCATCTGATAGATGTTATCATTTCATTTCGGACGTTTGCTTGCAACTGCTGTACCAGGCCATGCATATCTCTTGGTGTTCTACCCCTGTACATACAGCCTATGTTCACTTGAGTTTAATGATTGAATGCCACTGCAAGTCAGCTGCATGCTCTGCAGGATCTACTTTGGCTTCACTTTTACTTTT